CATTCAGTAGTGGGGGACCGGCTCTCGTAGTTCAGATAAGATAAGCCTGACGCTCATGAGGAATTATTATAAAATTTTTATGCAAACGGCAGACAATAATTGTCTAAAAGTCTTGGAGTTCCTTTCGGACCTCATTAACCACTTGAATACATTAAATGTCAGGCTACAAAGCAAAAAGAAAACAATAATCTGAAATTTTAATACGAAAAAAATTTATACAACTTATTAGATTTCTACAAGGTGTTACCACGAGATCAATATCCGCAATTACATACAACTTCCGCAAAAATTTAATGTATGTTCGGCTCAACTCATTTAACAGACAATTATTTTCTATAATGAAAAAGACGAAATCTGTTATTAGAAATTCATTAAGTAGTTACCACAGTAAATGTTCATTAATAGTTCACTCATGCGAAACGTTCGTTCCAAAATGTAAAACAATTAGTACAACGGAAAAAATCAAAGGACAGCACACATGTATAAATTATATTGTATTTTTACGAATAATATAAATTTTACCCATCTGAAAAACATTTAAAAATAATTTTTACTTCATATGCGCGTCACATATGTAATCTTCTCGTTCGGCGACAACGAAAGAGTAGTAGTAAATATGTAAAATAGTAGCAGTAATAAGTGTGCCGAAGTTGCCCGCGAGGGCTTCGATCAGATTAGTGCCCGCCGAATTGTTTATGCCCGCGGTAACGAGATACCCTGCCCGTACGGGCAAAGGCTGAGCAGCTCTGGTATAGCCAATACAGACGGATGCCGTGTATATGTATACAGCAGTCACCTAGTGCATCACAGCGGCTGACGCCGTGTATGTACGGCAGCCAATTTTTGGTCCACAGGGGCTGACGCCGCTTATACACGGCACTACTTATCTTACTTACTTACTTTTACTTAGGCGAAAAGTAGCAAAGTATGGTACAGGTGCGCCATCGCGAAAGGGTTAATTCATTAATATTGACATGGTTATTTAAGTTTAAAGTATTTACGATTATTGATGGACTTCATGGTGAAATAGAATGTTCATGTAATGGTTGTTTATACAGGTTGGTTATACATACTTTCGGAGTTATTGTTATAACGGAGATTCTACTGTACCTAAAATTTCATGCGGGCTATAGTGCAATCAGCAAGGTTACCATATATGTTGTATTACATCAACAAAGTACAAGCATTCATTAAATACAGTAATGACATGCTTGATTAAACAATACAAATTGAGAGATGCGAATTTAGCATTATTGGATCTCCGATAGTTGCTAGAGAGAGCATAAACGTTGATTAAGACAGCACTTGGGTAGGAAAGAAGAAGCTCGCCGCTACAACGGGGCTAATTCAACTCGTGGCGCATTTTATCTTAAATTCGCGATACAGGCACGCCGACGGTTAATTGGGTGAAAGCGATGCAAACGACCGGACCGGACGACGACGGGATTAATTAAGCGATTAACTTTAGGTAGCTCGCGAGCGGGAGAGAGAGGTCTCGTTGAGGAGGTTAAGTTTCGAAATTGGGGACAACCGCCGACGAGGTCAAAGGTCGTGCCACTAAAGCGTGACGTGTATATCCGCGTGTAAACGTACTTACACCCACGGCCGACGTAATTTCGAATCGAGGAGGAACACAAGCGACAAGGCGGTTGCCTGCTGATCGAGAGAAAAATTAGTACAAGGACGACGTGATTTATTTGCCTGATACGAATGAAAGAATGACACCATCCTTGAATTATTTCTGTGGCTACGTGGGCCATTGCTTTAAATAATGGAGGTTTTACCGTATTATTTAAATTGTTAATTACAATATGCTTGTGACTATTCATATACATTTATTCCTTCGAGTCACAATTACAAGTTTAAATAAATTCCATTCATTGTCAACTTATAATTTACTTGAAAAATGTTCGAGGTTTCGTTAATTGTAAGCCAGGCGCAGCTTGAAGGTTTTGCTTTCAACTAGAAAGTTGAAACGCGCGATTAGCGACTTCGTAACAATTTATGTCGCTCGCGTAATCTCTGTTTTATCCGAGGTATCTCGCGTAAGCAGGAAATGCAATCCAGAACACGGTGCTCCAATCCGAGTGCTTGGGAACCCTTGAACGAACGCCGGGCGAAAGGAGCGAACCGGGAAGTAGGAGGGGAAGGGTTTCGGCTGGTCGTCTCAAGGTTTATTCAGGCTTACTCGAGCAAAGTCTCGGTTTCGTTCTCTGGTATCACTTACGGAGCACGTGAAGCCTCCTCGCTGTCCTGTCTCCTCGTATCTTCGACAGTTCTTCAACTGAACAACAAGTTACCCCCTGATTGCGTTGACAATTTGCCTTTGTAACGTGCTTTACGTGTTCATCCAATGTATACGTTCTCCAAGAAAATCTTGCAGAAAATAAATATTTTAATTTAAATGCTCTTAAAAAAAAATTTGTCCTAAATCAATTAGTTAAAATTTTCATCAGACTGATTGAAATATTACATTCCTGATATTTATTATCCTTATAATATTTCAAATCAATGGCTCAGAAGTTTTCATTTAAAGATGGAATTTTATGCTAGATTTTAGAAGAAAAATTTGAAATTTATCTAATTTTGGTATATATAACACTTTAATTTAAATGTTTTTAAAGGAAATCTGATCCAAAATCAATTAATTCAAATTTTTATGACAAATTTCTGACATTTATTATTTTTATAATTAGACAGGATTTTTATGTAAAATAAATTATTTATAGTATCAGTTTAAAAAATGTCTTTTAAACAGAAATTCCTTTGACCTTTTAAACATTGCAATATGTACTTTGTATTTAGTATTCTATACATTTTTATGTTAGTCATTATATTTTTTGGAAATCAAGTTCCTCATAAATGCATCAAATGCTCGGTCTACAATATTTCAAATCGAACGCATGGAAATTTAAATTCAATTATGGAATTTTATACAAGATATTCAATGTTAAGAATTTTATAATTTCATTCCACAATCTCGAACTGGTGAACATTATTTTTTAGCGGAAGAGTTCCACGGATCGGATGTATGTACGTCGCGTCGCGCGAACGCGAACAACCGTGTAGAATGTCCCCGTTCGAATATTGCATTCCGAGATGGGTCTCGGGTTATGAGGTGTATATAAGGATATATTCGCGGTGTTCCGGCACCTCACCGCTTTCGACTCTACCTGCACGTGCAACAGTAAATCGTAAACCACAACGAAATTTCAGCCTGCTGCTCCTGGCCTGGCCTGGCCTGGTCTGGCATGCCACGCTAGCGAGTACCGACCGTCATGAATTATAAAGTGATAACATCGAAAACATCACGGGTCACGTTACGTTATATAGAAGCTTTGGACTGAAACTCGTGTTCGTAACGAACCTAACGAAATATGTGTAACAGTTTAATGAGAGCCAAGTCAATTTCTCTGTTCCCAAGCACGAAATGTTTTCAACTTTAAGAACCTAGATTCCAAAGATAGCAGATTTTACTTCCTAAAATTACAAAATTTAATTAGTTTTTTCTTTCTATGAAAATTTTAATCATTATGTTTATGTTATGCGTTAAACAAGAGACAAATAGGAAATATGTATTGTTCTTGGAAATTACAATCTTTTTACTACTCAAATGGATTTATCTTTCATTTTAAGAAATACAGTGGAAGCAAATTTCAAAAAATGACAAATCTGTCTTCCTTTTAAGAAAATAATTTGACTTCCTTGAACATAAAAGAACATCCAATTTTAAGATGAATCTGTTTTTGCTATGGTTTGTAAACAAGAGATATTTATCTTTATTGGAAGAATTATAAGCAAACAACTGAGTAATTCATTTTATAAAATTGAGTATCATAAATTGGGAAACGAACTTCATTCGTTATTCACAAAACGATTTCTGTAGTCACGACTACGACTGTGCTTTCGTTATGACTTATAAACCAAACAAAAAAAGGGAATATACTGTCTTTGCCAAATAAAATTCTTTTACTACCAAAGAGACATTGTCTATCATTTTAAGAAGTACAGAAAAAACAAATTTTAAGAAATGACAAGTATGACTTCATGGTACTTATAAAGGTCCGTTAATTCATTCTTCTCTTTGTAATGAAAATTTTAACGACTGCGTTTTCGTTATGGTTTATAAACATAAAGAAACAAGGAAATATGTATTGTTATTGGAAATAAGTATTACTTTACTCCGAGAAAGGACTTGTCTTCCATCCCAAGATGTATAGAAAAAATAAGATTGAAAAGAAATAACAAATTTTACTTCCATTTATAAAAATTTTCTTTCATGACTATAAAAAAACATTTAATTAGAAGATTAATTTTTTTTCATTATGATTTGTAAACAAGAGGTACTTATTATTATTGGAATAATTATAAACGAATAACTGAGCAATTCATTTTATAGAATTCAATATCATAAATTGTAAAACGAACCTCCATCACTCGTTATCCAGGTAACAATTTCACTAGAGGGCTACGATTATTTTATTGCTACAATTCATTCGTTTTTGCACAAAGACAACTGCAATAATAGTAAATGTAAAGTGAACCTACACTCGGAGCGTTACAAAACCGATAAAATTCTTTCGCGATATTTAATGCCGAATCGTAACCAATAAAATAAATGTTTCTCTGTATAGCTTTCCACGCGGCGACGCGACGCGAGTTTTTCGGACGCCAAGCGCGGAAATATAAATTCGTTCTATGCGACATGCAATTTACTGCCCGTTCCCCAACGACGTAAAACGTAAACGACGGAATACGTAAATCTACCTTACTAGGAACCTAACCAATCTAACGTAAACCTATGCGCTTCACGTCTATCAAAGATTAATGCTAACCCATTACGGAGATGCTTCTATTCCTATGTATTTTGTCAAATATATTTCGTATGACTGCACGTTATGTAATCATATATTGGGTGTACAAATGTACAACAAAGTCTCAGCCGTTTGAAATCAGATAGCGTAACCAGTAAGTTATGGCGGCTAGTGTCAGATGTGAGATGTCATATCGTAAGGTTGCACATCTGTCAACAACATAACATCGAAATATTAGCGATTGTGTATCAGCGTCGTATATTTTTTTCGTGCGAAAATGTCGAATTTTGAGCTGAATAAACATCATTTGCGGAAGTTCTGATTTACTTCTTTAATTTGAAGAAATCTGGAGCTGAGACGCATCGATTGCTTGTAGAAGCATATGGTAAGGCTACATTAAGTGAGAGAAGTTGTCGTGAGTGGTTTCAAAAGTTTAAGAATGGTAAATTTGATGTCGAAGACAAAGAACGTAGTGGAAGGCCGAAAGTGTATGAAGACGCGGAATTGGAAGCATTATTGAATGAAAACCAATGATGAAAACGAATGAAATCATTACTGGGCCTCTCTACCAAGCTCAATTGCTGAGACTGAGACGAGCATTCAAGGAAAAACGCGCCCATTATTACTCCAGATAGGACAAAATCATTCTTTTGCATGATAATGCTCGTCCTCATATTGCGGCGCCGGCCAAAACCTCCTTGAAAACACTTAATTGGTGAGTTTTACCCCACCCGCCGTATTCACCAGATATTGTTCCTTCTGATTACTACTTGTTTCGATCGATGACGCATGGCCTGTCTGAGCAGCACTTCACATCATATGAAGATATAAAAAATTGGGTCGATTCATGGTTAGCGTCAAAAGATGAAGCGTTCTTCCGACGCGGTATTCGGATGCTGCCAGAAAGATGGGAAAAAGTAGTGGCCAGTAATGGACATTACTTTGAATAAAACATAAGATACCGTTCTTTCGCAATAAATGCTTAATTTAAGATGAAAAACAGCGGAAACCTACTTGTACTTCTAATATACATATACATCCTAAATATACACTGAATTAATAAAAACTATAGTTTGGAATGACTTGTTTATTAATTTCATGAAACATTGTTCTATTTATTATGTTTATCAATTTTAACAAGACGTGTTTGACTGAGTATTTATTTTTGAATAAAGTATAAAAAAATCAGCACATAATATGTATTTATTATAACAAGCACACTTATTATAACAACCAACAATTAGTATAATAATACTTCTAATCGTAGAGGTATATAGTATATTTTTATTATTACATTCCATATAACTCTTATTCATAAGCTACTCTTTAATTAATCTTCTACTTTCTACATGCAGCTTATCAATCACCTAAATATGATTTGTGCTTCAATAAGACACCACTGACAGACATCTATTTTTTTTAACAAATTGCATAATAAAATCAACACATAATAGATAATATTAAATCTTTTATTAAAGTTTTTATTATCACACTTTACATACATTTTCATAATATTTTTATTGATCGCTTTTAATATACTCGAGAATGCGTGCAGTTTATAAAAAGGAGTCGCGGCTGATTCATTGGTGACCGAGAGCAAAGCCACGCAGGCTGGCCGCGGCGTGTCTGCATAATCTCCCGAATACCTGAATATCCAGACGGCGGCGTTTATTCGCGCATACGCGAAAAGTGCATCGAACTCGAGAGAGCATTACCTATATTAAGCGGCCCTTGACATCGTCAAGCTATGTATAACCGCGAGCATTCGGCCGCGTTTAGACATTTTCGAGGCTTAGAAACATTAACCAGCGCAGCATCCCGGCGTCCAGTTAGGTATACCGCAAAGATTCGGAGTCTCCACCGTTATAAATATAACTTGAGGGGTGGTACTCGCTACCAAACCCGAAATAGTCTCCCTACGACTACCAAAATATATGGAGCTAGCCTTATTATTCGTGAACCTCAGATAAAATAATTAAGGTGAAGAAGAAACACAGGAACTAACCTAACATAACCTAACCTAATAATAATGTTTAAAACAAATGATATTATTATTATACACTACGGATTTTGATGTAAGAAATTTTTTTACCCTTCCAAGACAGTAATATGAATTGTTGACAGGTAGACTATAAACATTGAAGCAGCTTCTGAACGACCGTCCACGATATAGGCAATGTCGTAGTAGGGAGGCCGAACGAGAGAACTTGCCACAAATTCTAATAGCAGAGGACATAGAAGTAAAAAGATTAATAAGGCTCGAATTTATAGTCGCTTTCGTCGCTTCTCGCACTTGACACTCAGCTCTCAAGTGCGTCCCACCAATGTACACATTGTTATGTTTAAAAAGAAGTGAGAGTAGCGGAATAGCTACGCAATAGTTTTTCTCCTTTTCCGCTTCTTTCACTTCTTTTTCAAACATGAAGTATAAAACTTTTAGAATCTGAACATAACATAAATGTGTACATTGAACGCGGAACGGTTGGACGCACTTGAGTGCTGAGTGCCAAGTGCGAGAATCGACTATAAATTCGAGCCTAGGTCATTAGATGTGTACAAGTAGTGATAAGATTGAATGTAACAGGTCCACTGGTTGAAGATTTGAAATAAAATGCGAAAGATATAATATTGTAATGCCAATTGTGCAATTTATATAAATAATATAATGTGTCATAAATGGCGAAAGTGTAGATTAAGTGTATTACAAAAAGAAAACTGTAACATTCTCAATTGTTCCAAAGAATCGCTTGTAATAATAAGCAGACAACATAAAATACAATAGAGTCTCTCTATCTGTATTTTGTGTATTCTTGTTGCATGCATTTTTTATACCTTTGGCCAATGCAATTTTCCTATAAATTGAAGACAAGTTACCTTGAACATATTAATATTTATTAACTGACTATTCTAAGCAATGTACAATGAGCGTAGTTGTCATTTACTCTTAAAGTTGGTGCAACCTTAAAAATTCAATAACGATAATAATAAAATTTGCAGTATGAAAATCACAAATATTCACAGATAAACAATTCTATTAGCAATTTCTTTGGGACTGTAATTTTGACGAAATACTCAACGGTATATATTATTGCCCGTACACGAATATTTTCGAGCTGTTCGATTAACCGGGATGGCAGATGTGTTACATGAATAATTGAACCTATAATAACAAATTCAAGATACTATATTTAGGTATATAACCTACACATCCTTAAGTAGAATGTTTTAACGAATTTCATACATCCTGCATTCCATTATTATACTATAAAATAATAATATTTTTATCCAAAAGGAGAACATATTTTATACAAAATTTTATGAAAAACTTATCTACTAATGATTTAGTACAAAATTTTATGATTTACATATCTATACCACATCGTCATGTATCTCATTAAAAATATCTTTAATAAATTCGAACATTTTGAAAATGAACGAAGATATCATCTGGTATTACAGATAGAATCAACAATCTCAAGGAGTCAGCAACGCGAATGAGTGAGTGGCAGTCGAGTGGCGTCTCTTGTTGTCAGAAAAGTGAAGAGGGTAAACGACCTTAAAAGGGAGGAGGCGAGCGAAACGCTCGGGCTCAGACGGCCAATTAGGTCGTGGAAACAACTGCTTTCCATTTCTCGGTCGTCCCCAAATTCGTCGAAAGCAACACGAACGCGGTCACGGTGAATACGAGGAGTACAGTGAACAATTTGAAAAATTTATGTCAATCGTAACAAACGTACTCAATCAGTTACGTTTATATAAAACCAAGTAATTAAATTAAAGTCATCGTGTGTAAATAAATAAATAATATCTATGATCTTTAATTATTTAGCTTTAATATCAAATTTATGTATACTATGCATTTGAACAATTTGAATGACAATTTTTGCCCAATAAATCAATTCAAATAATTGCATGTAATATATTATCTGTAATATAAAGCAGAAGACTGCATGAAGAGCGAGAAACGAGGTATTGAAATGTTGCTTTGCAATAAGAGCACGATCCAGGTTCTTTCATCTGGAGCTCGTCGTAATTCGCGATAAGCGAACGAAGGTGTTACATAAATACCGATAATCTGCGGATCTCTTTTCTCCCTGTCTTCTTCGCCGAGGCTAGAGTCCCGATACTGCCGCGATTCGTTTAATGGATTTGGTCGCTAACGCACCGCTAATGAATTGCTAATGAGCGCGCCGGTTCACGGCCTCGTCTCGAAGATCTCGCGATCGCGTGATCAACGAACGGCGAAGGATACGTCTGCGAGACGTGGCACGTGACTAATAAGCATGATCCATCCTGGCAACCTCGACTTCTTTTCCGCCGACTAATAGGTTCTGAGGATTTTTCAATTGAAATCAACAGTAATGGCGTTTGTATTCAAGAGATTTAATATCATTCAATGGTCAATCCTCGTTCTAGATGAAAAACGATCATCGAAATCTTATTATACGATTTGAGAATGTCTGATCTTAAATGCAACTGATTGATTCCTGAATGGAATTGATTATAGGAAGTATTGAGAATAGATTATATTCGCATTAGGGGATGTAATATATCATTTGAAAGCACATTTCTTCGAGATTAAGAAACTTCATGAACTCCTCAACTTCTCTTGCATTTAATCAAACTTCTCTTACCTATCCACGTTAGTCGCAATTATATAAAAAAAATGATTAATTCAACTTTGCTTGAAGAACAAGCATAGACTGAATGTCACAATTTCTACTCATTGGGTTATTTTTCTATAATTTTAAGATAACATAAGATATTTTATATAGAATTTTCATTTTGTCTACAATTTTAAGGTAATGTAAAATACTCTGTAATTTTTATTCTACTTACAATTTCAAGGTGACATAAAATATTCTACAGTTTTTATTTCATCTGTCATTTGAAGGTAACATAAAATTATAGAAAAATACACCAATGAGTAGAAATTATGACGTGAACAGAAATTGGAATATTTACATTACCATAGAGAAAGCATGCGGGGCAATAAGCATACTGATGAACAGACTGCACATGTTTATGCATTTATGGAAATTCCCAATAATTTAAAGAAACAGTATGAAGTAACATATAATTAAATACAAAATATTCAAAGCAAAATACAATTTATAATAGTTAGTGGAGAGAACAAATGTTTATATGCATTTAGCTATTTTAATTTCATTTATAAAAATTTGCAGTTTACTAATAAACATTTTTCTTAGCCATTTCAGAAACTGTTTGAACTTCTCAACTTTTCTTGCTTTCAATCAAACTTCTTTTCCCTATGCACATTATTCATAATTATCCAAAAATATTTAAATTGAATTTTGCTTACAGAACAATAGATAGAATAAGCGTATCACAGAGAAAGCACGCAGGACAATAAGCATTTTCCTTATCCATTTGAAGAACTGTTTATACTTCTCAACTTTTCTCGACTTCAATCAAACTTCTTTTCCCTATCCACGTTATTCACAATTGTGCAAGAAGGTGATAAATTGAATTTTACTTATAGAACAATAGATAGAATTAGCGTATCATAGAGAAAGCACGCAGGACAATAAGCATTTTCCTTATCCATTTGAAAAACTGTTTGAACTTCTCAACTTCTCTAGACTTCAATCAAACTTCTTTTCCCTATGTATATTATTCATAATTATCCAAAAAGATGATAAATTGAATTTTGCTTACAGAACAATAGATAGAATAAGCGTATCATAGAGAAACCACGCAGGACAATAAGTATACTGATAAGCATTTTCCTTGTTCATTTAAAAAACTGCATTCGCATTCAACACAACCGGTTTCTTTTCATTGATAGCTATTGTTCGTTAAGATGAAATCGCAACGGTACCAGCGTTTTCAGGCCAACTCATTGGCATTGGAACGAGGCGAAAGAGACAGAGAGAGAGAGAGGGGGGGAGAGAGGGGGGGGAGAGAGAGAGAGAGATAGAGTAACTCCGTCGTCGCGGCTCTATTTAAAGTTCCCTCACGATTTGGCGTCGGAGCACGATTCGCTAACGATTCGCGTAATTTGCAATTCCTTCCTCGTCGTT